TATATATATATAAATTACTGATATACCTTTTATATATATTTAAATAGTATAACACAAGTGCTTATGGTAATCTCACTTAAAAAATTTCGAGTCGAGCTCGAGCATTTGATTTTGAGTCGAGCTCGAAACGCTCGAGCTCGAGCTGACTCGAGCTATTGCATTTTCTTATCGAGTCGAGTTCGAGCCTCATAAATCGAGCTCGAACAGTTAAAAAAAAATTCAATCATGCTCTATAATGCTAATGCTCGACTCGGTTCGACTCGTTTGCAACCTTAGAATGGATATATTTGGTATTGCTCAATTTTTACTATTTATTGTAATGTAATATCTATTAATATAGAATAAGGATTAACTTAATTAATTTTTAGAAACTATTTCCCGCCAAAAACATTAATTACTGCCTATAAATAGTAATTAACAAAACAAGCATTAATTGCACATAATTTCCTTTTTATATTAATTTAAAAAGGTACAAATATCCGTATATATCTATACAAATATCCGTACAAACAAGCATTAATTGACTTACCAAACGTTCTTTTTTATATTAATTTAAAGGTACAAATATCCGTATATATCTATACACCCTCAATGTTATTTTAATAAATATATTTAAAAAATTCTATAAATCAGTTGGTTTTGAAATAACCGATAAAAATGGTAATGATATTTTTTGGATTTCGGTACAATAAGGAGAATTTTTCGGAAGCTACATAAATTCGTACAAATATTTGTTTTTCTTTAAAATATAGATATATTCGTTTTTCTTTAAAATATAGATATATTTCTTGAAAATATACATAATTTCCTAAAATCGCTCTTATTTATTTCCGATTAACAGCAATTGTTTATGGAATAAATCATTATTTCACGCCAAGATTTCTGATTTTTTTTGCTACATTAACATAACATGGAGCATTGATTGCAATAGATATATACTATGGAATAAATCTCCTATTTTTAAGCCTCCATATAAATCTATAAATCATTTATATGATAAAATCGCAACAATATCTTTTTATTTAAATAATTTTCATCAAAGTAGCTCAGGGTGTAGTTCCTGCGAACTCTGGTCCGGGGCAAGAACGTGTTACCTCACCATTAAGGGGCATTTCTTTTTGTACTATTGGAGAAATCCTCAACGGCAGGATCACTTTTTTCAGTACCAACGTATATAAAAGGATATTCACTACCACAATTGTTTCTTCACGTCATTCACAGCGTTCAGAGAAAAAAAAATTATACAGATAAATTTTAGAATACAACAATAATATCATGCCGCCGGTCTAGGATACACTCAATTCCGTGAGTAGGACAAACAAACCTTATTTGTGATTGAAAGCAGTCCGAATATTTGAAACGCATCACGAACGAGAGAGCTGGAACGCATTCCATATACTGTTTCATGATGAACAAGTAAATATTTTTATTAGTAATATCAAATTTATAAATTTATTTTATAAATTTATTTTTATTAGTATTCCGAATAATTTATTTTTTTTGTGAAAAATATTTTAATTAATATTTATAAATTGATTTTGTAGGGTGCATTTATTAAAGGCATAATACGTTCTACAAATATGGGAGCATTTCGAGGTGTACTGAACGAAGGCGAGGTGTATGCAATCAACAACTATGTCGTTGAATTTAATCATGGGAAGAAAGATATCATAACCAACATATGGAAACTTGTGCTTCACAAAAGAACTCGTGTTATCAAATATGGTGGGATTTTCCCTCAAAATGGTGATCTTTTGCCTCAACATTAGCAAGGAGCGTGAGATATTTATGATATTTTAGGGTTTGATAAGAATTCCAATTTACATTATGAATTTCATTGTTATTCTATGTCCTTCAAGGTTATTATTTGTAATATATTTATTGTTTTATTAATTTTATTATGTTTTATTGTCATTCCATGTCGTTGAATTATGAATTTTAGTGTTATTATATTTGTTATCGTGAGATGACGTCTCTCATTCATTTCGATTAATGATTTATATGTCCAAAAATGCAACTGACGATCCAAGTTATTTAAAGGACAGAGCTATATTAGCGCCTACTTTGGAGGTCGTTGAGTCTAATAATCAATACATGTCGGATATGAATTCTACTGAAGGTCGTACATATTTGAACTCCGACAGTACGTCTAAGTCGGATTCCGGCAATGGCTTTTTGGTTGATCTCCACACACCCGAGTTCTTGAATAGCATTAAGTGTTCAGGAACGCCGAACCATGAGTTGCATTTGAAGATAGGAACTTCGGTCATGTTGTTGCGAAACATGAACCATTCTATGGGTCTGTGTAATGGCACATGTTTGGTTGTTACGAAGCTCTCTCCACATGTTCTTGAATGTAGGATATTGACTGGAGATCACGCAGGTGAGAAGGTGTTGATTCCTCGGACGAACATAACTCCTTCTGATGTTAGGGTTCCGTTTAAGTTCCAACGGAGGCAATTTTCCCTTATGGTTTCCTATGCCATGACCATAAACAAGAGTCAGGGTCAGTCTTTATCACATGTTGAACTGTTCTTTAAAAAACCTGTTTTTAGTCATGGCCAGTTATACGTCGCTGTTTCACGTGTTACTAATAGGAATGGGTTGAAAATATTAGTTTGTGAGGACGATGAGTTACCCAGTAATCAAACTAATAACGTTGTATATAAGGAGGTTTTTATTAATGTATAACCTTTTACCAATGACGATTTTATGTTTACTTTATGAATGTCATACGTATTATAATAACTTATTAATTAATGACCTTTTAATTTCTTAAAATTTTCCAAAACATGTACTAGCCCGTCCATCGCACGAGTTACATACTAGTTATAGTATTATATAAGCTATTATATTTTTTAAATTATGTCAATTAGGATTTAGGCCATATGATTATCCATTCATAAGTTAGAGATAAATATCAAGACAATCCAGTATTGCTTGAAATCAATAGTACCAAACAATGTTGGATAATTATAACTCACGACTTTTGATTAATTACAAATTGCACCCTCAATCAAATTTACTTCTCCAACATTAGGACACACACTCCAACTCGAAGAGAACAAAGAGATTACACGGGGTCAATTCCGTCATTTATTCTGATTTCCTCAACATCCCTATCTAGACATGGCTACTGGTCATCCAGCCCGCCGACCCAACACGAACCTGGCCCAAACAAACCCATTGACCACAGGTCTGAACCCAGCACGAATTTCAAACGGGCCGGGCCGAATCCATGTCGACATGAAAAAGAATTGCTTTTAAATCATTTTTTTTTATTTTTTTTGTGTTCGGGTCCAAATACGAGTCGGATCGGGCCTGACCCGTCGGATCATGGACCCGGCCCGACCCTAGATCTGTGTCGATTCAGGGTCGTCAAAACCCACCCTGGTAGACCGGCGGACCGGGTCGGGTCGGGTCGTGACCCGTCCCGGTTTTCTATCATGTGTATCCCTATCCAACGCCTATTTCCCATTTTCTCCTTTCATCAGTCTTTCACATTTGGGCTCAAAAGCCATTAGATTTTATCACCTCAAAATCAAATTTCTGCCTCAAAATTGCCCTCAAAATTTCCAGATTCTACGCCTTCACCTCTATCTGTAGAGAGAGACGGAGCTCTCTGTATATGCTGGTCGCTGTAAGCATAATTACATACAAAGAGATACATACAGACACGCATCTGTGTCGTCCCTACTTCAGATCTCGCGAATTCTCGCGTGCAGTCGCTCTTTTAGAAGGTAACCTGTTTTCGCCCGCCCCGGGTTACGTACTTTCCCGCTGTCGGACCCGACCCGAATCTCGCTGGCAAGCTCCCGCTGAATTTGAGGTTACTCGTTGAGTGATGATTTTTGTGTTATGTTTTCGCGAAGTGATTCGGTTCCTTTTTTAGTAGAGTTGTGTTTGGTGCATCTATGGTTTATGAATAGCAACATTTGTTGTTTGAATGTTCGAGCAAAGTTTGAGTTTTTATTTCTCGCGGGTTTGATTTCAATTTTAGCTCTTGTTTCATTTTATCTGTAGATAGCTGCTTGGTGGGATTTCCCAGTTGTGGATATACGTATTTCATGTGATTTGTGAGGTGAATTTGTTTTGGCGCAAGTTAGGGTTGGATTGTGCCGGGGGGCTCATTTTGAAGGATTTGGTATCCTTGAAGGGGCTGGGTACATCTCAGCAGTTAGTGGAATTCGCGCAGAATGTATGCCGATTCGAAAGAGGAAATGTCGATAGTGCCTTTTAGAATTCGGTTTTGGTTCAAATGAGAATGACAGAGATGGCTGAACAAGGAGTGTCCACTTTATCTAATGCCCATACACCGGTTGCGTATTCTATCCATACGCCTGTTAGTTTATCCCATCATACACCTGAAAATCCCGGCAATGCGCCCGTTAATTTATCCTGCCATACACCTGAAAATCCATCATATTCCAGTTCGGTTGCACCTATTCCCGGTGTCAGTTTGGCCACCTGCCACACATCCGAAAACACAACCGAGCCTTTTTCTACCGTCCCCTTACCCAGCCTCCCATTGTCAATCGGCCAGGAGTTCCCAGACGTCGACACCTGTCGAAGGACCCTAAAGGACATAGCTATAGCATCCCATTTCGAGATCCGGATTGTTAAATCCGACCGGAGCAGATTCATCGCCCGTTGCTCGAAAGAAGGCTGCCCGTGGCGCATCCACGTTGCCAAAAACTCTGGGGTCCCCACGTTCAGCGTGCGAACCCTCCAGGGGGAGCACACTTGCGAAGGTGTCCACAACCTCCACCACCAGCAGGCCTCAGTGGGCTGGGTAGCCCGATCAGTCGAGGCCCGCGTGCGGGACAATCCGCAGTACAAGCCCAAGGAGATCTTGCAGGATATCAAAGATCAGCACGGTGTGGCTGTATCTTACATGCAAGCATGGCGAGGAAAAGAGCGGAGCATGGCTGCTCTCCATGGGACCTATGAGGAAGGGTATAAGCTTCTTCCCGCATATTGTGAACAGATTCAGAAGACAAATCCGGGTAGCGTAGCCTCTGTAATTGCAGGCGGGCCCGAAAATTCTTTTCAGCGTTTGTTCATTTCCTACCAAGCGGCCATATACGGGTTCATTAACGCGTGCCGCCCTCTTCTGGAGCTCGATCGTGTCCATCTAAAGGGGAAATATTTAGGGACCATGTTTTGTGCCGCCGCTGTTGATGGTGACGATGCTCTTTTCCCGCTAGCAGTGGCTATTGTGGACAACGAGAGTGACGAGAGTTGGATGTGGTTCATTTCGGAAATCCGGAAGCTTCTCGGAGTGAACACCGACAGCTTGCCACGACTAACAGTGCTCTCCGAGCGCACCCCGAGCATGGTTGTGGCCGTCGAGATGAATTTCCCGAACGCGGCCCACGGCTTCTGCCTCCGCCACGTCAGCGAGAATTTTCGCGACACCTTCAAGAACTCGAAGCTTGTGAACATCTTTTGGAACGCCGTGTACGCTCTCACTACATCCGAGTTCGAGAGCAAAATATCCGAAATGGTTCAAATCTCACAAGACGTGCTCTCGTGGCTACACGTCTACAACCCGCGGTTATGGGCCGTCGCGTATTTCGACGGGGTACGATACGGTCACTTCACGCTGGCCGTCACGGAACTGCTCTACAATTGGGCGTTAGAGTGCCACGAGCTGCCTATCGTCCAAATGATGGAGCACATTCGTCACGAGCTGACTCTATGGTTCGACGAGCGTCGGGAGGCTGGGATCCAGCTGGCATCATCGTCGGCGCTCGTCCCATCGGCCGAGCGGCGGATCTCTGAGGCGTTGGCCGATGCGAGGTGCTACAAGGTGCTCCGGGCGAATGAGGTGGAGTTCGAGGTGGTCTCGACTGAGCGAACCAACATAGTCGACATAAGGGGGCGCGTGTGTTCGTGCAGGCAGTGGCAGCTGTACGGGGTCCCGTGCGCGCACGCGGCTGCCGCGCTCGTCTCGTGCGGGCGGGACCCGCGACTCTTTGCCGAGCAGTGCTTCACGACCCGAAGCTACCGTGAGACTTACTCGCGGGCGGTGTGCCCGGTGCCTGACAGGGTGGCGTGGGATGAGTCGGGTGGTGGTGGAGGCGAAATGACGATAAAGCCCCCAAAGACGAGGAGGCCTCCAGGAAGGCCGAAGAAGAAGGTGCTGAGGATGGAGAGCCTGAAGAGGCCGAAGAGGGTCGTGCAGTGCGGGAGGTGCCATATGCTCGGGCACTCGCAGAAGAAGTGCGCGTTGCCTATGTAACTTTATTATGGCTTAGTAATAATCTGCTTTTAGAGTTTTAGTTCTGTGCCTTTTGGAGTGTGTTCTGCACTGTGATGTATCTTTTGTTGTGGGGGATTTTAGTTAGGATTTGTGAGGTTGTGTTGTTTCTTTTGGTGTTGTGTGTGTTGTTGTTACATGTCCTTTGGCCTCTTGTTGTAGTCACTGTACTAAGTATTTAACTGTAGAATTGAGGCTGACTTCCTTGAAGATAATTATGTTCATGTTTCATTTTTTTTGTTAGTATGGTGATTTCTATTTTCTGGGAATGTTAAGATACTTTAAGAGGTTATAAATACCAGGGATGAATACAGGAATATTACAGGAATTATGTCCTTGAGTGGAGTATAATCAAACTTCATGATGATTTGTGATTTAAAAGTTTATCAACTGTTCTGAATAAATTTTTGCCTCCAAAGATGAAAGTGCTATATAAGTTGCCTTTCATCCAATCAACTATATGACAACAAGGAAAAATTAACTATTAATACATATTATTATATAAACTCAAATTTATAGCATATCAATTATTAATTCATCATCTATATCACATCACTGTTAATTTTATATTTTTTCTAATTTCACATAATCACACATAAAAATTCTTCTACTAATTTTTATTTAAATTATTTTTTTTTTTAAATATCAATATCCAATTACATGTCAAATTCTTATAACAAATTCAATTACATGTAATAATTTAATTTATAGTATTAGTTTCTAAGTATTGAGTGAGCCAACTTTGCTTTCTATTTCTAAGACGTGATTGAACTAAACAATAATGCTCATCTACCCACGGTAAGCATATGTTAATATGTCCACCGCTTATGTGGCATGCACACACTAGTGATGTTAATATTTAAAACAAAAAATGCATCACCAATGTGTGCATGCCTCATAAGCGGTGTGCATATTAAAATGTGTCCACCGTCGGTAAAATAGTGGAAGTGAATCGCTATTTACCGCCCTCTTTTACTAATCACCGCCCCCCAATTACGTTTTTGCCCTTCACACTATCTCTCTACTTTTTCCCTCTCGACTTTTTACGGCTCTTTTGACCGTCAAAAAAATATCGAAAAAACTCGAAAAAAATACCATGACATCGGCAAGACATTGAAGATTGACTATGTATTTTTTTTTATATTTTTTTATTTTATAAATAATTTTTTAATTTTTTTTTTATTTTTTTATTTGCACGTCCGGACGGACCATCCGGACGCACCATGTGGTGTCAGGGGACGAGAAATAGTAACACCCGTGGAAATGTGGAGAATAGTACTGTTTGGATAAAGGTGTAAAATACTCTTTTACCCCTCTTGACAAAATTTTGATTCTTCCCCAATCTCCTCACTCGTCTGTGACTCGGTGTTCTTCACCTTTCGGCTACTCTCTGCCACGAATTCCCGCAAGCGCGGCGACGACCAAGGCAACGGGTTACCTTCGAGAATTCAAACGAAAGTTCGACCGACCCACCTTTGGTGTTCGCCACATTCGGATAACCTCTAAGGCGTCGATTTTTTGCTCCAACAGGAAGCCCTAATTCTGCCGCCCTAGTAGAAGTCGGCGTCGACGACGAGGACGGCGCGCGACAGTGGTTCAGCTAGTCAAAGCACCTGCAACGACGTTGATAGCCAGGTACAAATTGTTCTGGAAATTGAGTTTACTTGTCTATTCGCGACAGTGGTTGATACTTGATAGGCCTCTTTGTTCTTGCCGTTGGATATACGTTTTTGTAATCAGTTGTAACATACACATCAAACCGAGGGCGCTATAGGCAATGAACTTCACGCTTATTCAAATTTGATTATCTCTGTTTGTAGTTGTTTTGCTTCATACGATGTAATTGCTTCACATGATGTAATTGCCGTTAACATAGAACAAGCCGGTGCACTCACCCATTCTCCGGTTTCGGGATTTACTGCACAAGGTGATGGGCAATTTGTTGTACTTGGTTGGAGTTTGAGCTGCTTCATTATTTGTCAATGAGCTTCGATGGACAATATATAGCTTTGTTGTGTGATTACAGTCATCTATCGGGACTGTAAGGAACCGGTTGGTATGTATGGTGCCAAGCTGCTTAATATCTATGAGCATAGTTGTTTAAATGTCCTCATGAATTTGATATTTATTTGAACTATGGCTGCATCATTGCTTATTTGCATGTTTCCTTTGAGTTTATTAGTGAGTCAATATTTAACCCTGCTTTAGTTAACGAAAGCAATTCACGCCACACATCTGTTTGAAGTTACTCCTAAGTCCTATGTTGTAGGTGATTTTGTTTTTCATGAAAGTTGTGTGTGACAGTGAAAGTTTGTTTAGTTGATGATGTGTGGTTTCGTTTGATCTATGTAATGCAAGTACCGAAAGAATAAATTTACTAAGAGGTGAATTTGAAATCAAGTTGAGAAAGAAATCGTTCTTTGTACCTATAAGAGCAAGCATAATAATATTCAGACATAAAGAGCAATGCTAAATTAACAAAAGTACATGAATATTATCGTGCTTCTAAAGTATGCATGAATACTTCTTTCATTATAGGCCACTGTACCATTATGTCAACCGGGTCCCACACATCAAAGAAGACAACTTCGGCAGCCACCTTCTAGCTTAGAGTGTTCGGGCTGTGGCCTCCTTATTGTACCAAAAAAAAAAAAAACAGTGCAAATTTCTAAACTATTTATACAAATTGTTATTTAACAAACACTTATGTGGTAAAAAAAATTATTTATATTAGCTTCTAAGCATTGAGTCGAGAGGATTAAAAGAACATAACGATGTAAATTTTTTAAAATAGTTATACAAACCACTAATTAAAAAACAATTGCTACAAAAATTGCTTTTTAACAAACACTTATTTACAAAATCAGTTTCTATTAGAAAACCTATCAAATAGCTTAAAATTTAAATTTAGGTTCAACACAAATCAATAAAATCTTTCCTGAACAAATTTATTACATCCAGCTCCAGCTTTCCCAATTCCTTCCTCAGCCTCTGAAATTTTAGGTTTATTTGGAGAGATAGGTGTTTTAATTCCTCTTTCAGTTCCATGAATCTGTACTACGTAAATTATTTTCATTTTCTTGGAAGGAAAAATCTGTAGATCGAGTTGAAATTGAGCTGCAGAGATGGTAGTGGCATCTGGAACAAATGCCTTTGCCAAGGAAATGGCCATCAGAAAACGAATTTCCGGCATGTATGTACACTTCTTACTGTGTTCCTATTTGCTTGTGCTGCTTTAGTTCTTTTATATGTACTTTTCCCCCATTATTTTACAAGTTATTTACTGGGTTCATATAGTTGATCGATTTGCTGGACATGTCATTCTGGATTTAGTGTAGGACTGTGTGTGTGTGTGTGATCGTTCTTTCTTTCAATTTTGTTTTTGTGTGGGCATTTCTGAAAAGAAAAAAAAAATAAAAAAATCTGATGTGACTTTCAAAGGTGTTCGATACAAGGGCCCTTTCTTTTATCGTTGTCAAAATGATGTTGAATTGATGAACTTTATTGATTTTGTGTCGATTAGAAATCAGAATGACTAAATGAACACGAATTTTCAGAAAATGATTTTGAAATCAACTCTTAAAATTGTTAACCATCACCTGAAATCACAGGCTCTTCCTTTTTGTTTGAGCCCTTTTTGTGTTTCTCTTACCATTGGTTTCTCTTGGGTTTCATCTCTAGCCTACCCCAACTTGCTTGGGACTAAAAGGCTATGTTGTTGTTGTTGGTTTATCGGGCTTCGTTCCCCTAGCTTATCTGTCTTCCTGTTTTCTGCTTCTGGTGCAAATGAGCCTTGTATAGTCTATTTGCTCAACTTACCTCGCATTATCAAGTTTCTTGAAGCTACGTAAAACTTTACCGTGAAATTTGCAGTTATAACAAAAGAGAGGAAGATTTCCATTCTTTAAGGGAATACAATGACTACTTGGAGGAAGTTGAGGACATGAGTAAGTATACTGCTTGTGCTTGTGTTATGAACGTACATTCTTGCATCGTCTTTTAAGTTGAAGAAAAGTTACTGGTTGCTTGCAGTAGTTAATTTGGTCGATGGAGTAGATGTTCCTGCTATTGAAGCAAGAATCACCGAGTACCAGAGAGAAAATGCAGAGCAGATCATGAATGCTCAAGCCCGCAAGGTCCTCGATTTATTTATTTCATTTATAAAAAAATTGTGCGCACGTTTTTTTTTTTTTAATTTTTTTTTTTTTGCTGCCTATGAGTCCACTTGTTAATGTTGTTTTTGTTTTTTTATAAGCGCTTAATCTGCTATGTTTGTGATTGAATAGGCTGAAGAATACGCAGCTGCTTTGGCAGCAAGCAAGGGTCAACTTCCGCAGACGGGTGTTGATATTGTAAGTCAATCCTATGGCTATTATTTTATCATTGTGTGTACTAAATATTTCTAATTGAGCATATAGTTATATTTTTAATTACTGAAATATTCATATGATGAAATGGTACATGACAGTGAATCATCTGCTTTCAAAATAACCGGTTTTGCTACCTGACTCGTTTAGCTTCAACTACTATATTTTGGGGAAAGTTGCAATGCTGGTTCTCTTTTTCTTTTCTCGTACTTTTACCCTTTCTGACCTCGTTTGCTTCTATTATACAAATCATTGTTGGGCATTATATTTGCCGACCAGCAAGATTAGGTTCTTATGTTTTCATTCATGATGTAAAAAATAAAAAATAAATCTGTAATCCAGCTTAAAGATGGTTATATGCAAAGAAAAAGGAAACAATTAACGATAAGGCCTGTGCTCTTCAAATTAGTTGAAAATAATTAGTGAAAGCTCGTTGTTAAATATTTTGTCTTTACTTTGTATGAAAATTCATATGATGGTATAGCTACGAGTAACATGCACTGACGGAGCTAAACAAGGCCCAGGGGGGCCCGTGGGCCCCCCTCACTTTCTTAAAAAAATCAATATATATATATATAAATACTATAAAATATGTATATTAATAATTAAAACTTATTAAAAATTAATATATATATATATAAATAAATAAAATAGTATAAAATATGTATAGAAATGTAAAAAAATATTTACAATATATTACTAATTAAAACTTATTTCCTATGCTATTTTTATTTAAATTGATAATATTGTTTATTTATTGAAAAATACACTAATAACTCTTATATTTTAAAAGTTTTAGGTAAGCTTTCAAAAATATTTATAATGATTTTTACTCTTTCGGTCTCTTAATTGTAAATTGATTTAGTGATTTATAAAACCGAGTATTTATTAGTTGAATTGTTACATTTTTTAATGTTGATTTTTCACTCTTTTTTTTTGTGTAATCACATATTTTTAACCTTATTTTTTTTTTTTTAAAAAAAATATTCATTTGATAATCTTTCATGAAAAAATTGCTATGGAATGTTGTGTAAAAGTTCACTTTGAATCAAATTTTCAACCAAAAAATTTATATTTCCATAAATTATAGACGTTGAACTTAAAGTATGAATACATAAAATCTCTTCTTTTTTTTTGGTTTATTTTTTAAAAAAGTTTGAAGGTGATACAATTTGTAAGTTTTTAATGGTACACGTATCAATATTTATATTTATAGTAAATACATTTTCATATGAAATGGGTGTTTTGACTTAAACTACAAGCTCGTTATTTAACATTTAAAATTGGGCCCCCCTCGTTAAATTTTCTAGATCCGTCACTGGTAACATGGAAATATTATTTCGGAATCGCAATCAAGTTTTATGTTGATTATCGATCTTGAAGTGAAAAAAATGGATCTGTCTCTTTAGACATTCATGATTTAGAGTTTCAGCTGTTCTGGTGGTTGTGATAATGTTCTTCATATCTTCAGTCTTTGCACAGTCAATAGATAATAATAACCCATTAGTATAGAAATAGACATTCAAGTATTTATTAATAGACACTCCTCGTGATTGTGTAATTTGTATATTGAACCACATAAAGGGGTCTTTTTGTGATTTGAAAAAAGATAGATGGACGTTTATGTAATTAACCTGAAGCTCGATAGCTGCAGTCGTCAAGCTCCCAAGCAGGGCCGAGTGGTGTTGCTCAAGGCCAATACGCGCCAGCTGTTGCTGGCGGAATCACACAGCCCCGTCCCGTGGGCCCTCAGCCAGTCCCTCTTGGGCCTGGACTCGACGCATTGGGCCTTGAGTATGAAGATGAAGAGGCCATGAAACTCCGGGCTGAAAAGGCTGCCAGAGCAGGCGGGTGGAGTTTGGAGATGAGCAAAAAACGGGCGCTTGATGAAGCTTTTGCTAGCATTTGGATATGATAGTTACAGTTTTAAACTTCCGATTATAAGCTTCGATAGATTCGTCTGTAGTTTCCCCAACGAATTTTTGCTTTATTACTCGAAATTTTGTTAGAATTGTTACGAGCCGAGCGTATACGGGTGATGATCCACAGATTATGTGACTCAGGAGTAGTGAGAGCTCCATTTTCTAATCACATCAGTATCTCTTTGGTGTGTCAAGTGTGCATTGTGTTAGTTTTCTTCGTCTTATATTTTATAGCAAGCATGTTAATTTGTACATAAATAGTCACCTAAATTACATATAACAAATTTCACTATTATATTCATGACATCATCATCAAAATCAACAGTCATAACAATAATTGTTATGATTGTGAGGTCTCAACACAAAGATTGGGCAAATTAGATTAATTAAAAAAAATACACAACAATCGTAATGTTACCATAATTTGGTAAATAGTTATACTACAATTTTTTTTCAATATAGCATTTAACTGTAAAAATGTGTTTATTTAAAGAAAAAAGATATGTCTTTAATGATCAAAAAGATTTTTTTTTTTTTTACATTTATTTCTATGGTAAGAAAATTGACTAAAATGGATGTGCAAACTGAAAAAGTATAGCCACTTTTCAAGGTTCTTTGATAAGAAGTCCATGCCTCATAAAATAAAATGTCATATTTTATGGTCTCTTGCTTTCATATGGATAAGATAAGATCTCCATGTCACCATGTCTGGCTTAAACAAAACAATTTTATTTCTATCTCATTTTTCTGCCCTGCTTCTAGTTGTATTGGTTTTATAATGTTATTATTATTATTGTTATAATTATCAGACCCATTTTTATTTTTATTTATTTGGTTTTGAGTTACAAGTTTTAGTCCAATGGGCATTGATAAATTATCAGTAAACATGTGAAGCATTATAGACAGTTAAGTATATTATATGGTAGGGAGATGTAACCATTCTGTCGGGTATGTAACCGGTAGATCAACTATCTCCGACGACTACATGATGATCTAACGACTACAAAACCTCGACATAATGGTTCCGTAACGGAACTGTAGCATTTCCCTATACGGTGAATGTCCCACTAAAGTTTTTCATCTAAAATAATATAATGCTCTAAATTGAAGCATTCTTATGTGTATTATTTTATTTTAATACCATAAACGTTAAACGAGGGCAGGTATAGAATGGAAAATTACTGTAACTATTTATTTTTTATTTAGCTTATTGGAGATGGATGGGAGTATTATTTTCTTTTTTTTGGACCACTCAAAAATTATTGCCCAGTGTTTTGGATTGTATTCGTAGATGATGTGATGAAAAGGTACAACTCGTGAAGCATGCTTAGAAAAATAATAAAATTATAAACATTTTGTCAGAGGATAGGGTCGGCATTAAATGCAATTAGTGAACATACTTATGGCATTAATTTGTGCAAATTGCAGTTTGTTTTGTTTAACCTGTAACTATCTAGTTTATTATCTAGCCCAATCAACAAACAAAGATAGTCAAAGAAATCCAGCTGTATAATTAATATATTAAACATTAATGATAAAAAAAAGATAAAAGGATGATTTAATTAATTATCTTTACACGTTTCTTATTTTTTTTGGTACAAAGAATGAGGCAAGTGCCTTAAACTACGATCCGTCGAGGATGGGTGATCCCTAGAACATTATGATCCAGCCACAATTTCACCCCGTGGGAGGGTCTTCAAGTATGTGGAGTCCGCCCGGCATTGTCGATGCCAGAGAAGCAAGGTAATCCGCTGCAAAGTTCACTTCTCGATGAACATGTCGAAATATTATCAATTGTCATTCTTTTGCCAATAGCTCCTTAATGCCTCAGATCAGGCTGCTATGAATTCCCTTGTGTTCGCTCTCATGCAACACCATTTCTACGATATTTTTGTTGTCCACTTCCACAACTACCATGCGGTACCCCGTTTTCCAAGCCAAATTCAATCCTTGGAGTAGCCCCCAAAATTCGCTCAGGAATTGACTTCAAAAATTAACAAAAACATATAAAAAATAAATACTCAAATGTTTAATTAATCAATTTACATGTATTTAATTAAAACTCATTTGTTACCAATTATAATCTTCCATGGTGAAACTTATGAAAACAAATTAAAAAAATAATAAAAAATTAAAAAAATAAAAAGGTGGCCAATTTTTTTTTGTCAAAATTGCACCAAATATTAAATAATCATATATACTAAGGGACCTAACGAAAAGCTTATTTATATAGGTATTCATGTCACGGCCTCTTGATTTGAAACTTATGAAAACGAACTTTGTTTATTTTCAAATATTTTATATTATACGTCACACAACAAATGTTTGTGCTAGGATATATTAATAATTAAAATATATGTCAATTAATTTCAAACCTAAATTAAATCAAAAGTCCTCCTTTTGGGAAACAAAGACTGCCCATATACTTAGGATAATTTTTATAGACAAGACATTAATTATTCACCTAATAAAATAAGGGAAACAATATAATTATTCTCATAATAAAATAAGATAAAGGAAATAAGATAAATAATAATGACAATAATATATCGTCTAAATCCGAAGTCGAAGGAGATAAAACTTCGTTAGATATGCTAAGGCGATCTCGTCGCATTAAAAAGAAAGAAGAGATATTTCAAATTCATTTTTTAATATATCACAAATTAATTTTAAGAAAAAATATATTTTAGTTTTAAATTTCCAAATGGCAGCATGGCATTAAGCAGACATGCAAATGCTGATAAGAGGGCATCTGAAGGTGCTTAAACGTTGTCGTTTTAGTCCACGTGAGCCACCCGCCAAAGTCCTCGGGCTTTGTTAATTTTGGTTGTTTTGCTCTTTGCCAGTTGTGCTTTCACTGTACTTTGCTGACCGTACACGGTACACGGTAATATACTAGTAATATTTTTTTTTTTATTTATTTTTTTTTCATTTTACAAAATATGGATAATTGTCTGTTGAGCTGGATTTACCTGTCATCCCGGTCACCGGTAACACTTCCTTGCTAAACCCAATATTAACGAATTGAGATAAACTCTAATTTTTTTATATTCAAGCTTAAGTTAGAGTGTTTAACGAAACCGAGTTAATTAAACAAGCTTGAGGTCGGTCGTTTATTAATAATTATCGAGTTGAATTTGAGCCTTATCAAGTGGAGTTAAGCCAAAAAATCATATGGTTATACAAAAATTCTTATTATTGAGCCTAACGGACTTTAACGAGCCAATTTCGCCCAACTAACTCATCAGCTAAACTAATACAAGCTCAACTGATTTATATCAAACTCAGGAACGATTTGTGCCGTTTGAAAAATATAGTAATTGAATTATTAGGGACAAAATTTTAAACATGGAAACACCGTTGAAGTTTTTGTAATAAAATAGATAATAAGATGAATAAAACCATAATAAATTGTGGATAATTCTCCTCATTACTTCTATATTTGTGGATTTTGACGGTCCCAAACGGTTACAATATTCTCTCTCTCTCTCTCTCACTCACACACACACACGCAATTTTCTTTATCAGGTTAGTTGGTTTTGGGTCTATAAAATAAAGCTCCACCACAATGGTCCCTTTTTTTCCTCTCTTCTCCGTTTGCACACTCATTACTCTCCCGGCAATCTCGTCGGCCGCTGCATTCGCCGGAATATTTCCCTTATCCCTGTTCTTGCAGACACATCATAAAGGTGGGTTCTTGTTCTATCCCCTTTCCTCTGTGTATATATCTACCTTTAATCATTCTCCGTTTCTCGATCTATTATGAAAGAGGTTTAGATCTGCTGAGTATTGATAGATCATGGGTTTTTCAAGAGGACCCTTATTAATCTTGATTCTTTTTTCAGCAGTTTTTGTCCTTTCAGATTTGTGGGTTATCTTATTTTCTTTCATTTGTTGTGTCAAGCTGTTTATTAACTTTTTTTGTGAATTTCGTTTGTTGTGTGTTTTTGTGTCTCTCTCATGAACTCTGGTAATGTGTTTTTTTTTTCCTATCTGTTAAAGATTCGATCTTTAACATGTTTTCAGTTTATTTATTTATTAGTATTATTTTTTTTTTTGGGTCATGTGGCGTGAGATTGGGTTATAAAGATGCAATCTTTCTAAGTTATTTGCACTGGAATTTGTGTTTTTTATCTTCATCCTTTTTGAAAATATTTCTTACCTAAATTTCCAATGTTTGGGTGGTAGGTGGGACTCCACACTGTTGCGGCGTGTTATTATCTGTCTTTTTTGGCCTGTCAGTTTACTCGGTTTTGCTATGAAGCCAACCTTCTATATAATACATGCCCCTCAATCTTCGTTTCAACCCCTGAAAAATTGGGGGTTTCAGCTATGTGATATGTGCATCAAAGATTAGATCTTTGGAGTCAAATCTAATCAATTTATCTTCATGGACAGCCATAAATTTTTCAATAGTCATTTTCGTTTACCATATATGACGATACGCAGTTCATTATTTCTCCATCGGCATGTGATATTTAGATCATTTACGGTTTGCATAATGTTTATTCATATCTCTATGATAGTTTGGGCTCATACTTATTTGCTTCTTGATTTGTAAGAAGATCGAGTTTACAATGGAAAGGAAGTCTTTTCTATAGCTGACAGTTCATATTTTTTTTGTACATACCCTTTACTGAGAATGTAATGTGCATCCCTTTTTGTAGGAAAAAACAGTTTACATAAACGGCAATTGATCTTTCTTGGACATACCCTTAACTAAGCATGTTATGCACATGCCTTTTTTTTGTGGTGTTTCATTGTAATCTGATATTAAATGAAAATTTTCATGGTAATGCAGATTGAAATTTGAAACCGATCATGGATGGCGTTAGTAAGATTATTCTCGATGGCCCAAAAGAGTTTGGGCTTAAAAACGTGAGCTCCCACCAGTCAATATCTGAGATGGACGATTATGACCTCTCGAAGCTGCTCGATAAGCCCAGACTGAACATTGAGCGGAAAAGATCATTCGATGAGAGGTCCCTTAGTGAGTTGTCAATCGGTATATCGAGAGGCTTGGAATATTACGAAAGTTCGTATTCGCCTGGAAGGTCAGTACTCGACACGCCAGCCTCGTCAGCCAGGAACTCTTTTGAGCCGCATCCAATGGTTGCAGATGCTTGGGAGTCCCTCCGGAGATCACTTGTGCACTTTCGTGGCCAGCCGGTTGGGACTATAGCGGCCTATGATCATGCGTCAGAAGAGGTTTTGAATTATGATCAGGTAATTTATTATTTAGTTTTTATTGTTTTTCTTTTTTTTTTTTT